GTTATATTTACTCCCAAATATTTAATCTTGTGATTAGCTATTGTGAAGGGCATTGCTTTTCTTAGCTCCAGCTCTGTATTCTCTCTGTCACTGTAGAGAAATCCAACTGATTTTTGTATGTTGATCTTGTATCCTGCTACTTTGCTGAATTGGTCAACTATGTCCAATAGTAAAGGAATGACATATTTTGAACTATATTATCTACTTTTTCTACAACTGAATTTCACAACTATTTAATATAATCTTTAAATGTTTTATTCTTGAAACACCCTCCCAATTGCTACCAAATCAGAACCAACTCATAGTTGACCCTTGAGTGGATTTTCAGAGGCTGTAAATTGCCTGAAAGAAGATTGCCTGTCTTTCTCATGCAGAACAACTTGCAGATTTGAACAGGCAGCAAAGCTCAGCCTTTGGGCTAGCCACACAACTCCATATAGATCATGTCTCCAGGGCTCACTGCTACTGAAGAATGTTGGTTTTGTTGTTGTATATTGTTGTTTTGTTGTTCCATTGAGTTAGAACCAGTTAATAGCTGACTCTCCAGTAGTTTTCAGAGGCAGCAAGTCACATGGGAGGAAATTGTCCATCCTTCTGTCACAAAGCAGCTAGTGGACTTGACCTGTGTGTTGTTGGGATGGCAGTGAAACTCCTTATCTCTAAGCCACCACAGCTCCAAGCATGATGTTCTTTTCTGAAGACTGACCAATCCTGATAGCAGGTCTAAAGTAGGTGAGACCGAGCCTCACCACCCTTGCTTCCCAGTAGCTTGCCCTTCTTAAGGCAGATTTGCTTTTTCTTTTGCTTATACTCTTAGCCAGCACCTAATTCAAAGGTATGACTTTTTCTTTGGTCTTCCTTATTCACTGTACAACTCCCACATGCACTCCCACATAAGATACATATGTTATAAAAAATTTTGGTGCTGTATACCTCAAGAAAAGCCAAATGCAAAATAAACATACAGTATAATTATATTTGTTTGATACATCAGAAGTAGCAAAGTATATGATAGAAATCCTAACAGTAGCCGACAGGTAAATGAATAGGAATGTAAGTTGACTACAGAAGGTCAAATTCAAGGGGTCTTTCTTGGGTTTTGCTGATTTTCTCTTTATAGAAAATTGGTTGCATACATTTGTCAGTCATCTTGGAACTATATGATTAAGAGTTGTGCATTTCAGAATATAAAATATATCTCAGTCTAAAAATCAATGCTTACAATTGCATTTTTGCAACATATTATGGTTGATTTGAATAATGGTACCAAAACATACTTTGACTCATTATGTTGTCTCCCATCACCAGGAAGAAAGTTTCTAGCATCCTTCTTGATCTTGTGCCACCTAGCTATAAATATATTGCCCCTGTTCTGCTCAGTTCTTAATTCTTTCTTTCTTATCAAAAGTAGGCAAGCTAAAACAAATGCTTACCAGAATGTTAATAATAATGTTATTTTAGGGTGAGGAAGTGAAGTGAATTTTCACCTTTTTTCTTTTTTTCTGGATTGTTGGAATTTTTAAAACAAGTAGGTATTATTTTTATAATCTGAAAAAGAAAATTCTTGTTGTTTACAAAGTGTATTTATCATGAGTACTGTATAATTATGTGAAAACTTGGAGTTTTACACTATTATTAGTAACAAATTTCCTTCCAACGGCAGACTCTGTGGGTGGTTGTTTATTAGCCATGGGACCTTGGTAAATGTATAATTGTGTTTCTTTTATGTCTCTAGCTGGTTTTTCTGTTGACTGTCTTTATAATCCTGGGGCAGCCAGCGATGAATGGTCCACCACTACACCATCAGTGTTCTGGAAAGTGTGTGCTCTCCAGCTTACCTGCTTCCTCCCCTGTTATGTTCACAGATTCTTACCTGACCCTGGATGAGCCCATGAATAACATCACTACATCCTTGGGGCAGACGGCAGAACTGCACTGCAAAGTCTCTGGGAATCCACCTCCCACCATCCGCTGGTTCAAAAATGATGCGCCAGTGGTGCAGGAACCCCGGAGAATCTCCTTTCGGGCAACTAACTATGGCTCTCGACTTCGTATCAGAAACTTGGACACCACAGACACAGGCTACTTCCAGTGTGTGGCGACAAATGGCAAGAAGGTGGTTTCTACCACTGGAGTCTTATTTGTCAAGTTCGGTAAGCAGCTTCCTCTTGGGTCTGGCCTGGCCTTTGATTTTAAGTTCAACATGGTAGAATGACTCAAGACCGCAGTGGAGAGGAGGAAGGTACTATGAGACGTACTAAATGAGAATGATTGTGCTGTATGCCCTGGAGTCTCTAGGTCTTACCTTCAGTTACCTCAAGGTTGGCAGTTCAAGAGTACCCAGAAGTACCTCAGAGGAAAGGTCTGGTGACCTATTGCAGATTGTTCACAGCCAGCCACTGAAAGTATTACTCAAAAAAAGGCCCACTCTGAAACAGATTGGGTGATGGTTGTTGTTATGTGCCATCGAGTTACCATGAAATAGAACTGACTGGACCACTACTCGGTATTACCGGTGGCTTAGTTATAAGGAATTGTGCTGCCAACCAAAAGATACCAGGTTCAAATTCACCAGCTGCTCCGGAGAAGAAAAGTGGGTGAAAACCTGCTAGTGGGTCCACTATATGTCAATTCCAAATCAACAGTACTTAACCACATACAACATAAGGCAAAGAAAGACTAAGTGTCCAAAGAGGACCTATGTGTCAGGAGCTCTGGTGGCCTAGTGGCAAGAAGCTGCATTGCAATCACAAAGACACGCAGAGGCAATCCACCAGCTGTTGTGTGGGAAGGATGGCCAACATCTCATATGATGCACTGCCATTGAAAACCCATTGGAAGGTCAGCTGCGGGTCGGTTCTGACTCAATGGGACATGATAACAGCCTGTGCTCAGTGATCCCAAAGCTGGTAAATGCATTCTTACTACCAAATAAATAAACTAAGACCCAGAGCTTAAGTACCAAGCCAGGGTTGCCTAAGTAGTAAATAGCAAAGCTGAAATAATGACCAACTCTCTCTGACCCTCCATAAACTACTATGTCACTGAGCATTTCTTCCCAGCAGGGTTTTTCTTTGTCCAAAGAAGGTAGGAGGATTTGTACCATGTTTACCACTTCTTTCTAGTTCTCACCAAAGCGACTGGTGCGATCCGGGAGTGCCCACAGCCACCCACCTTCCCACTGGAAACTCCCTCCTCAGTCTGACAACATCTACTCTGTTGACTCATTTTTCAGCACTTGCCTTAGCATTTTTTCCGTCCCTGAGCTGTGGGATATAGACACGTTCTCACTGGTATGTTTTTTCATAGTGTGATTGTAAGGAGCAAAACCAATATATCTCAGGAACATAATTATCACCTGGGGGTGGCTGAGAACTTTCATTTGTAATGGTCTCAGGGTACAGTCACTTATTTGCCTTTCAGTCTCTTGGACTCACTGTTTTTCTTTTCTTTCTCCAGGGCCCCCTCCCACAGCAAGCCCAGGATCCTCGTAAGTACTTCTTATCTCCCTTCTTGTAGTTTCTGAGCTGTTCTCCTCACATTTCTAAAGCACAGGCAGTGATGGTATCTGCCCTGCCCTGCTTCTGTCTTGATGGGAAGATGCATGGAAGTCCAGTATTAACAGTAACCTCCAGTGTAATATTGTTGATACCAGTTAATCAAAGCAAACCCCTACTCACACTTTATACTTTAAAATTCGTTTAATAGTCAATGGGAATGATAGAGTTCGTAAAAACCAAACAAAAAAATGACAGCGCACTGGTCTTTTTGTTGCCTTACTTATTGAACACAGCAGTAATTAGATGATCACTTAATTTTCAATCTCTTTCAAAAACTCGAAAAGAATTCTAACTCACTTTGAGGAAGAAAGCCTGGAGTGTTGTGGGAGTTTGTTGACTTTTTTTTTTTTTAAGTTTACTGAAAACTTTTCTTGCTTTCTCACTTTTGAGTTCCTTGTTAATGAAGTCTAAAAGTGTTATTTCATTAACTGATGCTATTGTTGCTGCATCTGACCTTTATTCTGGCTAATGGAGTCTTACCTTTCACTCAAGGCTTACATACTTTATGTTTCTTTATGCTTTTCTTATTATTGTAATTCTTTTTGCCAGGAAACGGCTGGTAAATAAAAGCCCTTGCTATGCAAGAAAACATTCTCCATGTCTTGTAGATTTCCCAAGTAAAATTCACCATCATGAGAGCATCAAAGTATCTGGCCTAGACTACACTGTGGCAAATATAACAGCCACTTAATTTGCTCTAATCCCCTCTGTGCCACTTAATTATAGTGTAGGATATTTTAATACATTTGTGTGTGCCTGGAGGCCCTATGGCCCACAATCCCATTAATAAAAGAGGTAATGGGTAAAATAAACATTGGCCTTTAACCACACTGTTTTGCCATTTCATCAGCCAGTTAAAGGCCACAGTAAAATGGTCTTTACTATCACCCAGATGCTGACTACAGCCTCCTTGCCCAGGTAGAAAGTGTTCATTGATCTTAAAACAAGGCAGAAGTATGACCACTCTATCTTATGTTTGGGGTTGGTTTTTTTTAAAATCTTTTTTTAAAAAAAGAAATAAAAAGTGGTCACACTATTGACTTAACATATGAATCTTTTTGAAGTCTTATTTAAACAAAGATTGAAACGTCTATTATTTGCTGTAAGAAATGCTTCCCACCCTGGGACTCTATTTGTTCCTGTTAATCTGTGCTTCTATGTGGTTGATAATCTGTGTCACGGGTTGACTGATGAGGTTCACTAATCTGCGTTTATCACTGGGCACTGGGCGGATGGCTTTCTGCCCGTCATATTTACATCAGAGAGTTCCTTTTTTGTTATCAAAATAATTTTCAAACACTTATGTGTTCCTATTAAAGTTTTCATTCTTTTTGTCGTAACGTCTTTCTGGTGAACGCATCCTAAGTCTCTCATGGTTTTTAGTTCAGTATGAAAATTGTGTACCACTTTCATGACCTGATGTCTAAGCAGAGGGCACTGAAGCTCCTTAAAGATGTTCAAACACAGCTGAAAGTATGCTTTGATGTCAGGCACCCCTTTTCATGTTGGCTGTCAGATTATCCATCACATTAGTTGGCAATACAGTTGCCACAATTGCTTGGAGGGAATAACAGTTAAATTCAGTCCAAGCTGGAAATCCCATGGAGCCCTTAGCTGTGCAGTCCCCATGTTCATTTTGGCACTCCTTGTGTGTAATTTATCAGGCTGCCAACTGAAAGGCTGGTGATTCAAGTCCACCAGCAGATCCTGGGAGAAAGATGAGCTGTTTCCTCTCTTTATGATATGCAGCCCCAGAAACCCAAAGGGAGGTCACTACCAAGTCAGGACTGACTCAGTAGTGGCGAGTAATTGGCATTTAGGGTCCCTGGTGGTGCAGTGGGTTGCGCAGCTAACCAAAAGGCCAGTGATCAGGACCCTCCCTCTCAAGAGGAAAATGAAGCAGATTCCTCAAAGATTTCTAGAAGTCTCAGAAAACCAATAAAACAGAGTTCTGCTCTGCCCTGTAGTGTCACTAAGAGAGCTGGCTCAACACCAGTCTGGTTTGAGTTGATATTTTGGCATACCTTTTCCTCTTTCTTTTAAAAGCTGTTGTTGTTGTGTACCATCAAGTCAGAAGCGACTCAAGCTGTCCCTCCAGTAGGTTTTCAGAAGCACTTTAATCACTCAGGAGGAGATTGCCCATCTTTCACCTGTGGAGAAGCTGGTGGATTTGAACCTCGTGCCTTTGGGATTGCAGCACAGTTTATTACTACTAGGCCATCAGAGTTCTCATTTAGAAGCTAGCAATTCATTATTCTCCCCCCCCCTTTTTTTGACTCCTGTTGGTATATAGTCTGTGGTAAGGCACACCACTAATTCAAAGGCCACATCTTTATGGAGTTGGGTTTGACTTCATAACAATGATTTTGAATTTTTTTTTCTGCTTTGCCACCATTGCCCTCTTAGAGAACCTGTCTTCCTAAGATTAACTCCCAAATAATATACCTATCTCATTCCCAATCCAGATGAGACCCACCAAACAGCCAAATGTCCCTAGAAGTAGATAAAACTCAATTGTGGTCAATTTGATTTATTTTCATGCAGCCTCCATATCTTTTAGAGAACTATTCTCTGGGATTTTTAAGGCTGTAACCTTTCAGAAGTAGATAATCAGGTCTGCCTTCCAAGGTACCTTTGGGTAGCTTCGAATCACCAACCTTTCATTTAGGTTAGCCTTTTGCACCACTCCAGGACTCCTGCAAAGAGATTGGCAGCCCGGAAAAATGATAACCAGGGGAATAGCACAACCATGAAGGTAGCTCTGAATGCCTTTGGTCAAATTGAATGATGTGTTTTTCAAGGTAGGAGTGAAATATGGTTCTAAAATTACTTGCTTCGCTTCAAGGTGGCACAGTCACAAGTTACAGAAAGGAAAATAAATAGGCATCGATGTGAGATGTGACAAAACCCTACCATTCAGAACAAAGAAATGTATTTAAGTGTGTGCACCCAGAGGAGGACTCGGTACCACTTACAGCTGCAATGCCCCGCAACACCTGTAGGGTCCTTGGGACTCAGAAGGCAAACCGGGTGTGACTTTTGTCACTTCTTCAAAGGGACTGCAGTGAGTTTTTGCAAGAAGATTTCTGGACAGTGTTTTAATCTGTAGAAGAATCACAATCTTCGTTTGGGATTGGAGTTTGGCTGTGTTCATAGCTGTGGGCTCTCTTTCTCCTGTCATTGTGGAGTGCTGGCCTCCCTCTTAACACTTGTAGGGCCTGAGGCACAAGTACCAGCACAGGCCCACATACCATCCGTCTAAATATTTAAAAGCTATAAATCAAGCTAACAGACGGTGAGGCAAAATATGCTCTATCCTCCCACCTTGACAAATAGAACTTTGAAATGACAAAATTAAAAAAATATGTGTAAAGCTATGTTTTTCATGTGACTGAAAACCAGAAACTATCAAAGGCATCTATTTTAATCATTGTCGTGAATGTCTGGGAGTTCTGTTCACAGGCCAGAGACAGTGTACATAATTCACAAATTGTGACATTAGTGTCACAAAATTTCTTTTTCTGTTTTCCTTTAAGAATAAGTACTTATATTATTTTATATATATTTATTATTTATTACTGAACTTATATGCTATTGAGCGTAATGACAAATTTGAAAACCTCTCTTAAGTCACTCTAAGTTTGTTCTTTATAATTCATTCATTTTTGCACATTTTCCTCCCTCCTCCTCCCATCTCCCTCAGCCAGTCCACTTTGCAACATACTACTTGCTCCAGATTGTTGTCAAACATATAATGCCTAATCATATATTCCTTTCAGATAGTTCTTCCCCATCTGTTCCAATGCACTGTTCGTTACCTGTCCACTCTTCCTAATCTTCCCCCAAGCGCTGTGTCAGACCTAGTTTATAACAACTTTCTAAGTTTTTTATTCATTTCAATGTGGATAAAATTCACCCCTTTAAAGTATGTTATTCTGTTTTCTTTTGAGTATATTCACGGTTTGATAACCCTTCTAAGAACTTTTTTGTCATTGAGACAATCCTGACTTACAAAGACCTCATAGGACAAGCTAAAACTTCCTCATAGCATTTCCAAAGTTGTGGTCTTTGCAGGAGTAGATTCTACATCTTGCTCCAGCAGAGCAGCTGGCTGGTTCTGCCTACTCACCTTTTGATTAACAGTGGAGCTATTAATCACTCTGCCCCCTTGGCTCCATATAGCCCATAGCCCCCCTCTGCCATTGTGTTGGCTTCAACTCATTGTGACCCTCCTTGAGTTTCTGAGGCTGTAAACCTTTATGGGAGGAAACTCTCCATAATTTTTCCAGATTTGAACTGGAAACCTTTAAATTACTAGCTCTGTCCTTTACACAGTCCGCCAGTGTTGTTATATGGTGCCAAGTTGGAACCAATCCATAGCTGAACCTCCAGTAGGTTTTCACAGGCTATAAATTGCATGGAAGGAGATTTCCTATCTTTCTCCTGCAGAGCACCTGATGGATTCGAACTGCCTAACTTTGGGTTGACAGCACATTGCTTATCCACTAAGCCACTGGAGCTCCCCAGCTCCACCTTTAGGGCTCCTTTATGTAACTTTTAGGGAGCACTGGTTTCCTACTAGTAAGAAGCTGTGCTATAATTACAAAGGCACATGGTTCAATCCACAAGCTGCTCTGTGGGAGAAGGATAGGCAATCTCTACCCCAAGTGGTTTCTTGTCTCTGAAAACCCACTGGAGGGCCAGCTATGGATCACTTCCAGTTCAATGGTACACAGCAACCAAAAAGCAGCTGATAAATTTTACCACTGTCTTATTTTAGAATATATATTCAATACCTTAAAATGTGCTGAAACCTTGAATCTACTCTTAAAAGAAAACCTTGAATCTACTCTTGGTTGCCTCTCCACCTAGCTCCTGGTAACCACAAATCTACTTTCTAATTATATGTGTTAGCCTGTTATTATTTTAT